TTTTACAACTTTCCAAGTCATTTGGGATAGATGAAGTTGTGCTGGAGGCTGAATGAAGGACTTAATCTACCACACCGGCCAATAGGGAGTAAAATCTGCCTGGTACCATGTGGCAGTTAAGGTAAAATAGATGTGGGAAGTAATTTCTGGATCACCAGGCACACCTGAGTGGTGTTTGGAGCAGAGGTGAATGAACATACATGACTGCAAATAAACTGTACGTAAGGCTCACTTTACCAACATTGGTCATCGAACTGCAGATGACTCAGGACCAGGCAGATATTTGTTAAGGTATTTCCAGTGGCCCAGGCTGATGAGGGAATACAGCTAAACATGAAGTAACTGAATGGAGTCACTTGTGAATCTGGGAATTATCCTGCTAGTGTGGTGGAAACCCACTGAAATCTCCCTTGGCTTGTCTGTGATATGCAGCCACATGGTGTCAAAAGGGGCCACATTTCAACCCAGGTACAATTAACATTTTCTAAGTGAGACATTTTGCTTCCCTCTGTGCCCCCATCAGCGCTGCTCTCTGAATTGGCAGGCCTCTCCATCCTTGCTCCCAGACTAGTTGCAGCTGCTGCCCTCATGAACATGAAGTCCCAGCTGCAGCAACTTCCCAGAGCAATCTGGAAGCTCTGGACTCCATGTTACCACGCAGGAGTGAGATTTCAGGGTTATAATAGATAAAGACCTGTATTCAGTACATCAAAACTCAAAATGAACATTAGGAATTCCTATGAACAAAATAGAGAACAAGCCAGGGTGACACAAATATCATGTGCGCAGGATGGTCTTGCTGTCTCCAAAGGGAAAAACAGAAACAGAGATGGCACAAAAAAGGACTGCAGCCAGGTCAACATTTGTATAAGAAGCTAGTAAAGACATCATTGCTTTCCAGCCAGGGAAGGACATGCTGGCTGTGCCTGTAAAGCCACAGGTAGCTCAGAGGGAATGAGTGGGGGATGATCACTATTTTTTCTAATACAAAAGCCAGGAAGGGGCATGTTTAAAAGATGTAAATGGAGATGTGTCTTTGCACACTGTGTACATAACACTGGAGCTCTTGTCACAAATACTGTGGATGCTACAAGATTAGATTTCTTCAAACAGCAACTAGACATGTTCGTGGAAGAGACATCCATCAAAGGCTGTTAAATGTAAAGACATTGCAGCTGATTGTCTCTGAGCTGTTCATCTTAGATGGCCAGAAGAAAATTATCATTGCATGCTTGTGCTGATCTTCCTCAAGCATTGCCTATTGGCCACTGTCAGAGACAAGACAGGGCTTTGGTTTGAGCAGTACTGCTCAGCTTATAGTCTTAGAATGACCTGTATTTCATGACAATCTCTTCTCAACAGGGAAATGGGCTGACATCCTCTTTTTGTAGCCTTTGTTACATCTCTGCTGCTAACAAATGGACCATAGTAATATGATTCTGTGATTCAGTTTTAAAACACTTTGTGCTTCTTCGGGAGAAAAGGCATGGTACTTGCAGAAAACAGGATTTAAAAGATAACAATGTTAACAAGATGCTTCTAGGAGAACTGATCAACCATGTATTTTTCTGACAGTCATAGCTCTGTTGACAGCTCTCTTTCTATAAGTGCCCAACATGCATGTCCCAAGCCTCATTCATGTCAGTCTCCTTTTTATTTGTTTAAAAGGAATGAAATTGTTTATATGGGATGAAAATCCCATGCAATCCTTAGCTGGTCAGCATTGTAATCCACTCTGGTATCACATCACACATCACTGCATCTTCCCGTCCACCTTTTCTGGTGGAAAGGGTATCTTTTTATCTGAGGTGTTTTCTATGGGGAGATTTCTGGGCTCTGTTTTTATTTCTCCCTCTCTGCCCCTCCCTTACTGTGAGAATGCTCACTACAGAGTCCTTTCCTGTAGGATTTATGATGTGAGACATTGCCAGATGGATCATTTTGCTTGCTAGCAACTGGTACATTTGATGGTTGCAGGGGTGACTGCTTCCTGCAGGCTTTGCTTGTTCTTCATCCATGTGCCTTTCAGTTTGTACCAGTGCTTCAGTTCATGAAGTTTCAGCGCTCCCTGATCTGACGGCACGCTTGCAGCTTTAACAGAGACCTGCTCGCTGTGCAGTTTTAAAGTACTTTAGTAAAAGCCTGCAAGCACTCCAAACCAAAGGCCACCCTGTGAGTGGCTTTCAGCAGCTCCCATGCTGTGTGCTGGCCAGGCAGCACTCAGGGACTGTTCAAAGGGGCAGTGCCTGTCTTCTGTGTACCTGCTCCCCTGCAATTTTGACACTTTCCTGGCAGGCCCTTCCTTGCTCTGCCACTGCTTCTGCCTCTACAAGACTGGCCCAGCCAGCGCCAAGAGAGCTGCAGAGCAAAGCATGCAGTTCCTAGCAGCCCGGCAGCCTGCACAACCTGCAGCTTCCCATGCACATGCACAGTGAAGCCTGTGCACAGCCTGGCTGCAACTGCATTTTTGGAGACAGTTGCATGCTGCCAGGCTAGGCTTTATTTTCATGCTCATTTTTAAAATGGCATTTGGTGTTAAGGCTTGGTTTAAGTGGCTGGGTCAAGCAATAGCTAAAAGAGAGGCCTTGCAAAGAAAGTCCAGGTGCTATCACACACAGCTAGAGCTCCTCTGTCCTGAATCCGCAGCTCTCCATTGGCCTTACAAGAAATGTGCTACTATCTCATAAAGGTATAAATTACACAGACTTGTTACAAAGCTATTACAATGGCTTTGGCTCCTAGTTCCCATTAATCTTAACTGGAAGGGAGCACTGAATTTCCCTGCAGAAGTTTGGGAGTTTTCATATGTGAGGGTTTTTTGCAAGGACTTATTTGGTAGCTTGGTCAAATCATCATCTGTTTTAAAACCCAGCATACACTCTAGTATGTGTAAACTGCTCTGCACATTTGGCTCCCAGCTGGCTGGTGTTACGTGCCCTAGAAGGGGAGCAGCTATTTGCTGTTCCAGGGCCATGTGCATTTTCAGTATTTGCTGAAGTATTTGTCATGTCTGGTTTGCAGAGCACTTTGGGACAACTTGCTCTGCCATGGATAGCTGTGAAAAGACAACCCCAGAGGCAATGGTTGTTCAAGGCAAACATAGAAATAGCTCTGGTTGGTGCACAACCCCGTCTCTGTCAGACAGTGGAAGGCGTTGACTTCCCTATGGGAACAGAAAACAATGGAGCTGGACAATGCATTGGTCTAAGCAAAATGAACAGTAAGCTTGAGTCTGCCTTGAGCTGTGTGCAGGTGACAGTGTAGGCTACTCCAGCTGTGCACAGCCTGATGAGCAAACTCATCATTCAGAGTGGCATGGAACCTATGCAGTCAGAGACAGTCCTAAAAGCAAGAGCACCAGAACAAGCTTGTTTGGTTGCTCATGTGCTACACATCACTCAAATGTGAGAGGCTTCACAGGATGCTGGGAACCCTCCTTTACCCGTGAGGGCCTGGATGTGCCCAGCAGGTGCCGGGCTGGAGCCGGAGCATGAGAACAGAGACCTGGGCTCTGGTGGTGTGAGCTGCAGCCGTAGGCAGCAGGGCAGACACCAGCAGCAGCCTCTGAGCCTGCTGTGGAGGTGGGACAGGCATGGGGGCTGCCCGAGGTGTGGGAAGAAGCCATGGCTCCGTCTGGGGCAGGCTCTGGCATGCCTCAACACTTCTCCCATGGTTCTGACTAGCTCCTGCCTGGGGCTCTGGCTCCAGCCATCTTCCTCAAATCCTGCGTCAATGAGGTGTTCAGTCTTCAGCAACTGGTCTGAAGTCACTAACCTCTCCATGAGGTTCATTCATGCTTTGGAAAACGGGATGGAGGAGGGTAACTCCTCAGAAACCTCGAGTACAGTATAAAAGGCACTGGAAAGTAGGTAGTAGCCACACTGCTGGAGATGTAACTGTGTTAGGGTATAAGCAAAGTGGGTAGCCCAGCAAGGGGGACTATCTTTAACGAGATTAAGTATTCAGTTGTAAAAAGCAGATGCTTTTGAGTGCCCAGCCTTTCTTTCAGTTATGTGAAGACAGGTCTGCATTCCCCAAAGCTGGTCTGCTTTTGTGACCTGTGTCTGTTGCCCTAACAAAAGGTTTTTCCCTTCCTAGAAGCTTTTGTCTTGCCTATGGAGACTCTCTGGTTTGGGCTATAAGTTTGTCCGAGTCATTCAGAGACAGGAATTGCAGTGAAATTCTGCATAGTACTGCAATTTTGTTTGTACCTTACATGGCTGGAAAGCTTTTCTCCAGAAAGAAATTTGGATTTGGAAAAGTATCTGTATCACAGGAAATTTGAGTCATGCTGGCTGCCTCCCTCTTAGCACAGACTAGGGCTGACTGATTTCTACAGCTGAAATTCTGCTTGGCCTCTTGAGGCAGACCCATTGGGGCATGACAGAGAAATGCTTAGAAATAGGGGAGGGAGAGATGGAGTTGTTCTTGCTTGTACTGGACCTGTTCCAGGGACAATGAGGGCACTTGCTTCTGGCTCTGAAAACTTATTTCCTCCCAGAGATGTGGAGCAATGAAATGTCCGCTGCAGTATCTCTGAATCTTGGTCCAGTATCATGATGCAACTCAGGCCTCAGCAACATGCCACCGTGACTCTGTGACTCTGCAACACATGTTTTTCCTAACCTCCTGCCTGCCTGCTGGTACAGGGTTGCATGCATGTATAAGGGCAGGGCAAGGAGAGCTGGGAAAGGGGCACTCTTCCCTACAGCTTGCCAAAAAGATGAGCTTGCCCTGACGTGCTGGCTGCTTAGAGTAAGGTGTGTCCTCAACTCCTCACTCACTTGGCCACTTTTGCTAGTAAAAGGTCAAGTTGCAGCCCCAGGACCTGGAGAGGTGAAGGTGGGTCTAAAGGCACAGGCTGAGGTTTGTAGCTCTGGGGTTTTTGCTTGGCAAATGAACTAGTTGAAAAGAAAACAGAATTGCCCAACAAAGGAAATAACAATATATCCTTTTTGTGTGTGTGTGTGTGTGTGTTTTTTTTTTTTTTTTCCCTGCAGTAACCACAACTCTCTCCTCCTGGTCCGGGCATGCTAGAAAATGCAACGAAACAGCCAAGTCCTATTGTGTCAATGGTGGGGTATGCTACTACATCGAGGGGATTAATCAGCTGTCTTGCAAGTAAGTGAGTGTAGTTCTTGTGTCAATATGGAAATTACTTGGCTGGGGAAGAGGAGACCTCTGTGCAACTGCCAGAGGAGGGGTAGCTCTGAAATTCTCCTGGCAATTGCTGTTTGAGCTGTGCAGGTTCAGAAAGGGAGACTAGAGGAGAGGGGGGTGGGGGAGGAGGGTTCATATTTTCTTTTTTGTGTGAGTGCCACTGTTCACTTTTCCTGACTCTTCCTCTAAGAGTACGTTTGTCCTGGCTGTTTTCTTTCCCTTTCTTCCCTTTCTCCTCTGAAGCTTCAGGGAAGGTTGGGTACCTTTTGCTCTCCCTGAGCTAGGTCAAAGCTCCACAGCACCTGCTAACACATCCTCCCCTCTGAGCAGGGGGGCTTTCCCCAGTGCACAACCACCTCCCTCCTCTGTGACTGGAGGGGGTCCCTTGCTGAGACTTGCCTCTTACCTCTCCTGTCTGCACCTCATGGGCCAAGGCACAGGTTAGCCCACAGCTGTTCACCACTCTCTGTCACTTTGTGGCAGGCTGTGGATTGTTTATTTCTCCCCTTCAAATGTTAGAACCTGCAAAAAAAGAAACCAGGGAGAGTTGCCCTTAAAATGAAACTTCTTGGAGAGGTTAAAGTGGGGCTGCATAGTCTGAGGGATATGGAATAGGATGTGAGACTTTTTCACCTCTGGTTCAAACCTGTCACAGCCAGCAAGCCCGATAGCATCTCACAGCTCACCCTCCAAGCCTAATGGGGACTGTGAATGAAAAGTGCAGTCTGATTGCCAGTGCTGGAGCTGTAGGTACATCCTGTACCTGCCCCTGGGTCCTGCAGAGTGAGCATGAGGTAGTGCCCTGTGCATTTGCTGAGCAGATGCAGTCGGCTTCTGAGCTTACCTGGGGATCCAGGCATCACTGTGCCCAGCTTGGAGAAGCCCAGAGCTGACTATTTTCTCCCTGCATGGCTCAGAGACCTCTCCATGGAGACACACAGCCAAAGGTATTTACATCTGTGGATGTCAACCTAGTACCACCTCCACTGCATGGTGTGATGCTCACTAGACACCTCAGCTCCTCAGGCCTTGAAGGACGCATCTGAACAGAACCACCACCCCTCCTGGAAGGGTTGTGAGATGGATTACACTTAGCATAACACCTCCCTTCTCCCAGTACTCCTTTGTTTTGGAAGGGAGCAATAGGAAAGACCATGTGGAAATGCATTCTGCTGAGCTCCTGTGCTCTCACTTTCCAATGCAGGATGACCTGTGGTAGGAAAGACATAGGATGAACAGCATCTTCCAGTTCTCCCAGGCTTGCCCCTTCATACATGAAAAGAGCTGGGTAGGACAGAAACCAGATGGTGTGATCCTCCATGATTCCTCTCTATGTGAAGTGAGAGAAGCCCTTGTACACCACAGACCTGTGCTTTAGGGTAGTTGTCTCTGCCATTGGCTTCTTGGTGGCACTGTAAGTTCATCTTGCCATTGTTCCCCATAGAAAATATGGGGGAAGCCCCATATGATGAATCAAAGTCACAGCCACTATTCTGGTGTAGTTGTAGCCCCAGGAAGTCCCAGCAGTGCCAGTCTTTCCATGCTGGGGAGGGCTGAACTCTTGAAGCCTGGAGGAGTGTATGAATCAATATCTATCAGTAAGCAACGTAGTGGTGTCAAAAGCATAGATCTCAAGGCTGTTTCTTTTGGGAAGAACCAGAATCCAGATCAAGACTTTTCAAATTGGATCAATTTCAATTTCAAGAGTTACCTGAGCTCCTGTCATATGCAGCTATAATGGTAAGGTGCCATTTTTTCCTAATGAAGGACACATGTGGTAGTTATCAAGTGTCTTCAGCAGATAGACTGTTTTAACAAAAGTAATTGCATCTGTGTGAAGAAACAGTCTACCTTCAAACCAGGCTGCTATGATAGCTGATGAACAGAGGGGAAGCTCAGTGATGGATTCCATTAAGATTTTATGTGCCATATGAAACAGACCTAATTATTTCATATCATTTGAAAGCCTTAATTCCTTACTTGCAGATGGTAAAATGATTTCTTTTTCTGATGAGTCCCAAGATACAAATTGCTAAAACCAGATGGAAATTGAATAGGTGTGTATGGAAGGGCAGCAAAGTGTTAACCAAAAGGAGGTGTTTTGAAGGTCTGGACTGTCACTATTCATCTGCCAGAAAACACAGTTCTATGTTAACAGGAACCCAGGGGACCCAAGTGCCTTCCATGCAGTGCAGTCATTTCTGATCTTACTGCTTGAGGAGATATAGAATCTGGATGTTCATTCTCCTTGGGTGTTTTTATCATTAAATCGTAGACTGAAGATAAGAAATCCTGGTTTTTGAAGTGGTGTAATTTTAGAGTTTCTGGACTCCAGAGGGCAATAATTAGTTATTGAGGAATGCAGAAGCATTTGAACTGAAAACAGTGTTTCCCATAAAATGGCTTTCCCAATAACATGGACAATTCTTGGGGAAGGCTGATGATGGGTAAATGGACATCACATTTGCCTGCCTGTGAACTAGCAAAATGCTGAAATGTTTCACGGCTTCCTTGTTGCACCAAGACAAGAGATCTGCTGCTGTGGTTTGTGAAAGATACAATGATACAGATTCAGAGGAGAAACTAGAGGAGGCAAAGAGGCAGGCTTTGACCTGTATTTTTGAACTCTGTAACATGGGAGCCAGCCTTGCTCCTCAAGCCATGCCATGCCTCTGAGACATGAGCATGGAGCAGATTGATACGTCCTTCTGCACACAACCTCTTCAAATACCTTGGAGATCAAACAAGAGCATCTTGAGCCAGGAACGACACATGTGTCTGGCACTGTTCCCACGTTGCTATTCTGACTAGAGTCAGCAGGGCCCTGCAGGGGTCTTCTGGCACTGTGTACCAGCTTGCAGTCCTACTTCACCAAGTGCTAAGGAGATTCTAGCACCCTGGCACCCGTGTGACGTCACCAGCCTTTCCAACACCAGCTATCAGAAAACAGAATTTTAGAGTGTTCTTGTTCACTACCTGCCACCATCCTGTAATCATCTTCCTGGAGTGGATTTCATTGTTTGCAGCTGTCCACAAGCATAGGAGATCCTTCCTGTAGATGTTACCCCTGGCACTCTGGAACAAAAGGAGCAGCTGGGTTCTCAAATGATTTCTTCTCCTGAAGTGACTTATGCTTGATTTGTTACAGATATCACCTAAATTGGCAGCTGGCCTTTTATTATTATTTTTTAACAGGCTTCCCAGAAACATGTTCCTCCTGGTCTTTTAAATTCTGGGGAACAAACTGTTTGCCTGTAAACCCACCTCCTCCATCCCTTTTCAATACACTTCACCTAGTCCTTGGACTATGTGTTTTCTTCACCAGGGAAGAGCTCAGAATGCACTTGGGGCTGTTCTAGAAATTGTGTCTTTTTTGGATTGTGTGCTTGCATAATTTTGTCCTTAATTTGAAGTAAATTCTACACAAGCTAGAGTCAAAGGAAACCTGAACGTGATACAGTCTGTCCTGTCACCCTGACTCTGCAAACAGACCACCTGGAAGTGAGATGGGAGAAGTGTTATCTGCCTCAGATATTCTGCAAATTTTCAGCATAAACCCAGGAAACAACTAAGCCACACACACAGAGAATTGACTCAACAGCCCTAGTAAATTAAAAAGCTCCAGCCTCTTGCTGTCAGGAAGAATTTCTCAACCCTTCTCCAGACCATTTTGCTCAGAGAAGCCTTATGAGTTGGACTGGTTTCTCACCATAACTGTAGGGAAGTGGCAAGTTTGAGTAAATTCCAGTGCCTGCAGAAGGGATGCATACAAGCAAGTCTCAAGAACTTGAGCTGGGCTGGGACACAAAAGAGCAGTGACTGTTTTGTTGTGTCCAGATGAACATAGCGCTTGGGATGGCTAGCAGCCTCTGATCTTGGGTCTGCCTCGGTCCTGGAGCCCACTGGGTTCTTGGCACAACTTAGAGCAGTTTGAGGCTGCTCTAATCTTTTATTGCTGGGTGCCATGCCCAGGGGTTTGTGCTAGCATGTGTATCACATCAGAAATACTCTTTTTCCCAGTTAGGTCTTGGCACACATTATCTGCAGTTGGGGTCTTCCCAGCCAAGCAAAGAAACAAAGCCAAGTCTCATCACTGCACAGTCCTTCTCTGACCACTTAAATGCGCTTTGTGACTCTTCTGTGTGGTTGATGTAATCGAAGTGGCTGGTACCCTGGGCCAGGATCTTCCTAAATTGCATGGGATCAGAAGACTTAAAGAGCTTTGTAGAGCAACATCCCCCTCCCCCCCATCATGTTGGACTAGTTGTGCTTGCAAGAGTCAGGCTGAAGGATTTACAAATGCTGACAGATAAACACACTCTCTGGGTTTGGGCTGAGAGCATTGTGTTGCATGAGAGGGTAAGGTCAGAGGCCTGGAGGACCTCAGACTAAAAGTGAAAGTCAAGGAGAGAATAAAAACCAAAACAAAGTGAAAAAGAAAAGATCAGTTAATTTTTAAACTAGTTGATTTATGCAAATCACCAATTTACAAAATTACATGTTCACTTCCTGGAAGCACATTTGCTTACCTTCTCCATGTATATTGTTTCCTGCAGATTTTACCAGGAAAGGGGAAAGATCATTCTGAAGGGTTAGCCACATTGCCAGCTCCCCTGTGCTTTTCCAGAGCACCATTCAAAGGGGTGAACATCAGGCTGATCTCATATGGCTGTGGTCCTCCTTGCAGCACAGCTTGCTCAGCTCCCCTGTGGTGTCAGGAGATATGCCATCCCTCTCAATGACTCTACTGATTTGGTCAGCACAAGTTGCATACTGCACAACCACAAGTATGTCACTTTGCCGTGGATATATGAGCAGTTCTGCAGGGAGGTGTTGCAACATCCTTGGAAATGAAGAGCCCACACTGCTGAGCTAGGGGTGAAAATCTCCACATCCTGTTCCAAATCTTCTGAACCAGCCAGGACTCATTCATTGGGTTTTGCATGCTGTTTATCTTGGGT